ATGTTGGCCAGGCTGGTCTCAAACCCCTGACCTCATGATCTACCCTCCTCAGCCTCCCAAAGTGCTGGGATTACAGGCATGAGCCACCGCACCCAGCTATTTTACCCTTTTGAATAGCAGTGAGCAGAATCTACTCTCTAGCTCTATCAAAGCACTTATGTGTAGTGAAACTACATCATATTTATTAAAATAAGGTGATTGCCACCTGATATTTACCAGCTATTATCCTTCAAATGGCATGCTATTTTAGAAAATAATTATTATGACATGTTCATAACTAGAATCATAAAAATATTCTGACAGATTCTAAGAGCTCAGCATTCTACTCTTTGATGAAAACTAAGAAATAATCTAAAATTTAAGGCAAAGTAGTGTGACTGACATTTTTATAATAGCCCTACATGCATGGTATATCACCACAGTATTTCTTTCTTAAAACAGTAATAGGCGGCCGGGCGCGGTGGCTCAAGCCTGTAATCCCAGCACTTTGGGAGGCCGAGGCGGGTGGATCACGAGGTCAAGAGATTGAGACCATCCTGGTCAACATGGTGAAACCCCATCTCTACTAAAAATACAAAAAATTAGCTGGGCATGGTGGTGTGTGCCTGTAATCCCAGCTACTCAGGAGGCTGAGGCAGGAGAATTGCCTGAACCCAGGAGGCGGAGGTTGCGGTGAGCCGAGATCGCACCATTGCACTCCAGCCTGGGTAACAAGAGCGAAACTCCGTCTCAAAAAAAAAAAAAAACAAAAAAACAGTAATAGGCTCCTAAATATCCTTGACCAGCAGAGCATGTTAAATAGTGGCTCACGTGTGTAATCCCAGCACTTTGGGAGGCCAAGACAGGTGGATCACCTGAGGTTGGGAGTTTGAGACCAACCTGACCAACATGGTGGAAACCCCATCTCTACTAAAAAAATACACAATTAGCTGTGTGTGGTGGTACATGCCTGTAATTCCAGCTACTCAGGAGGCTGAGACAGGACAATCACTTGAACCCGGGAGGCAAAGGTTGCGGTGAGCCGAGATTACACCATTGCACTCCAGCCTGGACTACAAGAGCTAAACTTCATCTAAAAAAAAAAATTGTTTATGCATTTATTTGCTCCACAAGTATTTTTTGGCCGCTTTCCATGGGCCAGCCACCATTCTAGACACTGGGGACACTGTCATGAATAAAATGTGCTCCTTTCACTTAACCACCCTTAGAGTGCAGTGGGGACCGCAGAAACAAAAACCAAATGAGAAATTGCAAACTGTGGCATATGTTATGAAGGAACAGATGGACCATAATAGAGAATCATCCCAATTATAAAATCATAACTGATCATTTGCTGGGCGTGGTGGCTCACACCTATAATCCCAGCACTTTGGGAGGCTGAGGTGGATTTCCTGAGGTCAGGAGTTAAAGACCAGCCTAACCAACATGGTGAAACCCCGTCTGTACTAAAAATACAAAAAAAAATTAGGGGGTTGTGGTGGTGGGGGCCTGTAATCCCAGCTACTTGGGAGGCTGGAGCAGGAGAATTGCTTGAACCTGGAAGGCGGAGGTTGCTGTGAGCTGAGATTGCGTCACTGAACCCTAGCCTGGGCGACAGAGCAAGACTCTGTCTCAAAAAAAAAAAAAAAAAATTATAATTCATCATTTAAATGGGAATCTGTTCCATTTTCATACCTTGGTGTTTGATACTGACATACAGTTCTATTATAATTTTGAAAAGAGCCGATAGTAGGTCAAATTGTGTGTATACATTTATTTATGCAACAAATAAATTATTATGTGCCAGGTACCGCTGTAGACCCAAGAGAGGACACAGTGAACAAAACAAAGTCATTGTGTTCATGGCGATTTCACCCCGGTGGGAAGTCAGTAAGCAAATATATGATCAATGTCAGGAATTAATAAATGATAAGAAAAATAAAGCAGATTAAGAGGATAGAGAGTGACCAGAATGCTGTTTTATTTGAGTGGGCTGGGAAGGAGTCTCTGAGCAGATAAAAGTTTCCATAGCTTTCCTTCTTTTGTCTCTTGAGTCAATTCAGCTAATGAATGCAGATGCAAGAGAATTTTTGTATCTATTGGTATCACTCACATATTCATTGAGCGCTATGATGAGGTCCTACTTCTTAGGAAGGTTTACTACTTAGGAAGATTAACACCAGAATTCTTCTCTTCATTCTTTTATCACTCTTTCATGTACCTAAGTGCTTAAGCACCTTCATCCATCCATCCCTTATATATATATATATATTTTTTTTTTTTTTTTTTGAGACGGAGTTTCACTCTTGTTACCCAAGCTGGAGTGCAATGGCGCGATCTCGGCTCACCGCAACCTCCGCCTCCTGGGTTCAAGCAATTCTCCTGCCTCAGCCTCCTGAGTAGCTGGGATTACGGGCACGTGCCACCACGCCCAGCTAATTTTTTGTATTTTTAGTAGAGACGGGGTTTCACCATGTTGACCAGGATGGTCTCGATCTCTCGACCTTGTGATCCACCCGCCTCGGCCTCCCAAAGTGCTGGGATCACAGGCTTGAGCCACCGCACCCGGCCTATTTTTTTTTTTTCTTGAGACAAAGTCTGGCTCTGTCACCCAGGCTGGAGTGCAATGGTACAATCTCAGCTCACTGCCACCTTCGCCTCCCAGGTTCAACCAATTCTCTTGCCTCAGCCTCTCGAGTAGCTGGGACAATAGGTGCATGCCACCACACCCAGCTAATTTTTTTTGTATTTTTAGTAGAGGCAGGGTTTTGCCATGTTGGCCAGGCTGATCCTGAACTCCTGACCTCAGGTGATCCACCCACCTCAGCCTCTCAAAGTGCCTGGATTACAAGTATGAGCCACTGTGCCTGGTCATCCATCCCTCATCTTTCATCCAAAAATCATGATTTGGTATCTGTTCTGGTTTTCCAAAATCTTGTGATATGATTTACTTAATTAAAAAATATATTGTGCAGTTAAAGGTCTTCCAGTGTTTGATTATAAAGTGGAATTGCTTCTGGAGAGAACTGTTTTATCCAAGTGTTTTGGTGAACTCACAAGCCACTGAAATTTGATGTCTTGGGTGATCTTACAGTGATCCCAGCCTTAATGCCTAAAAGCCCTAAATAAAATTGTACACTTCTCAAGTGTTCTATAGCATTGCACAAGTCTAAAATAGGTAACTGGCACCTCCCTACACCTCATTGTTGGCTAACTGACTTGTCCCATAAATAGCTCAGTGTTACGTGATCAGACAACCACAACTAACAGAAGAGACTTTTGTTTCCTAACACACTTGTCCAGTCTCAGGTAGTAAACAAAATCCAAGTCCAAGTCACTGGCCCCTAACTGTAACCCAGTTCTTAGGGAAGAATTGTGCAAATCAGTAGCCAAATCCTGTGGGATGGAATTCAAGGTAACCCTGCCTTATACCAAACTCTACGTTATGGAAAATAGTGTTAGAGCAAGATTCATTTGCAGTCCTTACAGTTGCATGAAGTCTTTTCCCAGTCCACCCAAATGTTTCTGTCCTAATCTGGTTAATCCCAAAGAGCGTCTGCCAAATGAGTTAAAGATTGTCAAGTGAGTTTGAGGGGGCATCATGGTAGTTTTATAAAGCTGTTTTGTTTGTTTGTTTGTTTGTTGTTTTTTGTTTTAAATCAAGAGCTTATTAAAAATAGAAACTACCAGCTATTGGAGCATAATGGTTCCTATTTCTAACTCTTAGTTGGAATGTATTGTTTTTGTGTCTGAAATATTTGTAAATGCTGTAATATAACAGAACATTGCTTCATAAATTCCTTAGCAGTAACTAAGAAGGTAAACCTTGGGGCATTTTTCCAGATAAATCTGGGCTCTTCGTGTGCAAAGCATTGCTGCTTAGGTAACTAGTGATAATGCATCGGACTCAATCCGTGCTTTAGATATTTTTACTTTTCTTTTACTGGGCTTTTTCAAAATGGTGTATGTTTGTTGTATTTCTGAAGTCAAAATACCAAATCTAAAACAAGTGATTAAAAAAAAAAAATCTGTTGGCCAGGCACAGTGGCTCACACCTGTAATCCCAGTACTTTGGGAGGCTGAAGTGGATCACTTGAGATCAGGAGTTCCAGACCAGCCTGGCCAACATGGTGAAACCCCATCTTTACTAAAAATACAAAAATTAGCTGGGCCTGGTGGCAGGCACCTGTAATCCCAGCTACTTGGGAGGCTGAGGCAGTAGAATCGCTTGAACCTGGGAGGCAGAGGTTGCAGTGAGCTGAGATCATGTCACTGCACTCCAGCCAGGGTGACAGAGCAAGACTGTCTCAAAAAACAAACAAAAAACTCTCTGCTAATTATTTATTGCTGTTGAAATGCTGCTTATCATAGCTGACAATTTTGAACAGAAGTAAAGAATATATCTACAATATCAAAGTTAGTAATTCTTTCCCTAATGCTCCTTTTGTGCTTTTGCTTATAAGAACTTAGTACAGTTCATAGAGCTTCATAAACCCAGTTGTGTATCTTTCCATGGCCAGCCAAGTGTCTACATTTCAAAAACATTTTAAAGTTAAAATTCAGTTCAAGAGTATTGTCTTCAGTCTACCAAAAGGACTAAAAACATTTACTTTGGCTTGGCATGGTGGCTCACACCTGTAATCCGAGCACTTTGGGAGGCCGAGGTGGGAGGATCACTTAAGGTCAGGAGTTCGAAACCAGCCTAGCCAACACAGCGAAACCCCGTCTCTACTAAAAATACAAAAATTAGCCGGTGTGGTAGTATGCGCCTGTAATCCCAGCTACTCAGCAAGCTGAGGCAGGAGAATCGCTTGAACCCGGGAGGCGGAGGTTGTAATGAGTCAAGATGGTGCCACTGCACTCCAGCCTGTGTGGCAGCGTGAGACTCTGTCTCAAAAATAATAATAATGACAAATAAAATGAAAACTTTTACTTTTATTAACTATGTGAATATTTACTCTGGTGAATGTAAGAGGAAAATAAAGAAAAAACACCCAAAGCACTGATTGTTTGTTCAACAGACTGTAAAGCATGGCTGTGTGGATACAAGCTCAGCAGCTCCAAGGAGAAGCCCTTCATCAGATGCAAGCATTGTATGGCCAGCATTTTCCCATTGAGGTGCGGCATTATTTATCCCAGTGGATTGAAAGCCAAGCATGGTAGGTGAACAAGGATGTTTGCATCATATTTTGTGAAACACAGAAATATTGGAGTTGGGTTAGAAAGATGTCATGATGGCAGCTCTCAAAGTTGTATTTAAACATTTTTAAATGTGATCCATGAAAAGGTATTTTTACAAATTTTTCTTGGTGGGGGCTGTAAAAAAAAAAAAGGAAAAAAAATTTTTTCTTGTTACAGCTGAAAGATATTTAAGCCCATCTTAGATTGAGGGAGATGGAATAACTCTTGGGATTTTTTAAAATAGGATTTGTTCCCTTTAATAGTAAATACTGGCTAAAAGCATTAGACTATTACTGCTAATAAAGAGCAGCCAACAAGTATGTTTCGAGTGCCCATAGGGTGCTTAGCAGTGTCCTAAGTAGTAGAATTTGTATAAAAATAATTAACGCCCTACTTTGTGCTGTAATCCCAACACTTTGGGAGCCCAAGAGTTCAAGGACAGCCTTGGCAGTATAACAAAACCCTGTCTCTGCACAAAACACAAAAATTAGCCAGGTGTGGTGGTGTGTGCATGTGTAGTCCCAGCTACTCAGGAGACTGAGGTGGGAGGGTTGCTTGAGCCTGGGAGGCAGAGATTGCTGTAACCCATGATCACACCACTGCACTCCAGCCTGGGTAACAGAGCAAGACCCTGTCTGAAAACAAATAAACAAAATTAAAGCCCTCATCTCCAGATAATTCAGTGTTTCACTAGATGTGGGGTGGCACACACCTGTAATCCCAGTTACTCAGGATGCTGAGGTGGGAGGATTGCTTGACTCCAGCAGTTTGAGGCCAGCCTAGGCAACATAGCGAGATCCTATGTCAAAAAAAAAAAAAAAAATTTAGTGTTTAATGGGGCAGGTAGGGTGGGAATATGCATGTAATTTACTTATAATTTATTTCTTATCATTTATTTACTAAATGTAAATTATTTTACATTTCTTAATAAATTTACATCTAATAAAAAATTTAAAATGAGTAATTTGACAGTAGAGACATTGGTATTTTAAATTTATATGTATTTTATGTATACACATAAAGACTAAAAGAAAATTGGCTGGGTATTGTGGTTCATGCCTGTAATCCCAGAACTTTGGGAGGCTGAGGCAGGTGGATCACTTGAGGCCAGGAGTTCTGAGATCAGTCTAGCCAACATGGTGAAATCCCGTCTCTAATGAAAATATAAAACATCAGCTGCGCATCCTCACGTGCACCTGTAATCCCAGCTACTCTGTAGGCTAAAGCACGAGAATCGCTTGACCTTGGGAGGTGGAGGTTGCAGCGAACCAAGATTGCACCACTGTACTCCAGTTTGGGCAACAGAGTGATAACACTAATTACATTCTGGTGGTACATGAGACAAGCATTTTAATTTTAGTTTTCCAAATTACTGATTACATACCTAGGGGAGGGGAGAGTTGTTTTAAATTTCTTTTAGAATTAGTACAGTGTAGTCTACTGAGAGCACAGGTTTTTTGTTTTTTGTTTTTTGTGTTTTTTTTTGAGACGGAGTCTTGCCCTTTCGCCAGGCTGGAGTGCAGTGGTGCAATTTCGGCTCACTGCAACCTCTGCCTCCTGGGTTCAGGCGATTCTTCCGCCTCAGCCTCCTAAGTAGCTGGGACCACAGGTGCATGCCATCATGCCCAGCTAATTTTTGAATTTTTAGTAGAGATGGAGTTTCACCACGTTGGCCAGGATGGTCTCGATCTCTTGACCTCGTGATCTGCCTGCCTCGGCCTCCCAAAGTGCTGGAATTACAGGTGTGAGCCACCTCACCTGGCCGACAGCACAGGTTTTTAATTGGTATCATTCTTATACACCAGGCAGCAGGATGTACCGTGCTCTGCTCAGGGTCTGGGAGCTTGCTAGTGCTTACAGTCTGTCAGTTGATCTGACATATTCATTAGATACTTCAAGCCTCACCGTCTTAACCAGGGGTCCTCTTTGACAGTCCCTGGGAGAAGCCAGCCTTGATGCTGAGATTTGCAGAGGACCATATACCTGTCTGTAATGTTGCCTTAGAATAATTGCACTTGTGTGTTAGTAGCAAATTTCTGTTCAGAAACCAAAGATCACCAAAGAAAGGCAATTTTCTAGGCAATTTTAAAAAAATCTCAGCTTTGTCTAATTAAGTGAGGGGAATAAATGAGCTACATATGAGAATGTCAGCTGTACCTTGTTAGGGCTTTCCACTCCCTTTTCATTTTCTCTCCTGTTTTCATGATTTGGAGGATTTAGAAAAACATGAGTAGGAAGTTTCCGTTAATTTCAGATTTCACTTAGCAGAGTTCCCATTTGGTCTTACTAAATGAATTAAAAGACTTGTGTTGATATTAAGGAAAATTTGAAATTTTTTTAGCTTTGGTTTTCTTCAGAATATAACTATTTTAATGAAGAATCTGCAGTTCTTTATGTTTAAGCCATCGAAGCAAGTCTCTTTTTTTAACAGAGAATTAAGGTTTCAAGTAAAGAACCAGTACCTGACTTCTATGAGTTTTGCTCAGAGACTGAATCCTCTAAAGAGTGGGTTCCTGGGGCTGGGTGTGGTGGCTCCCACCTGTAATCCCAGCACTTCGGGAAGCCAAGGCAGGTGGATCACGAGGTCAGCAGATCTAGACCAGCCTGACTAACATGGTGAAACCTCATCTCTACTAAAAATACAAAAATTAGCTGGGTGTGGTAGCACCCACCTGTAGTCCCAGGTACGCAGGAGGCTGAGGCAGGAGAATTACTTCAACCCAGGAGGTAGAGGTTGCAGTGAGCCGAGATCGCACAACTGCACTCTAGCCTGGCAACAGAACGAGATTCTGTCTCAAAAGAAAAAAAAAAAAGACTGGGTTCCTGGCCAGGCACGGTGGCTCACACCAAGGTGGTGGATTGCCTGAGCTCGGGAGTTCAAGACCAGCCTCGGCAACATGGTGAAACCCCATCTGTACTAAAAATACAAAAATTAGCTGGGCATGGTGGCACACGCCTGTAATTCCAGAAAAATCACTTGAACCCAGGAGACAGAGGTTACAGTGAGCTGAGATCGTGCTACTGCACTCAAGTCTGGGCAACAGAGTGAGACTCTATCTCACACACACACACACACACACACACACACACACACACACATACAAGTGAATTTCCAGACCAGGGGCAGTGTTGCCAGTTGAAACAGAGGTGCAGGGCTGCCCTCATTCCTTCCGACCTTTCATTTACTACATATTCTATTTAATACATAGAGCATATATATTTAAAATTTGCGGCCGGGCGCGGTGGCTCAAGTCTGTAATCCCAGCACTTTGGGAGGCCGAGGCGGGTGGATCACAAGGTCGAGAGATCGAGACCATCCTGGTCAACATGGTGAAACCCCGTCTCTACTAAAAATACAAAAAATTAGCTGGGCATGGTGGCACATGCCTGTAATCCCAGCTACTCAGGAGGCTGAGGCAGGAGAATTGCCTGAACCCAGGAGGCGGAGGTTGCGGTGAGCCGAGATCACGCCATTGCACTCCAGCCTGGGTAACAAGAGCGAAACTCCGTCTCAAAAAAAAAAAAAAAAAAAAATTTGCCTTGCTTTAACTGCCTTCTCAAGGTGTGGATTGGGGCACACTATTTGATAGAGTACGGTCTCACTGTTTTTATATACCTGTTGGTGCCTGTTTTTGAAATTAGTTGGTATCTTCAGGGATTTAGCGACGTGAGAGCCTTTTAACCACCACTATCTTGTTTGGCTCCATACCCAGTCAGCCGTTATTGAATGTTATTTCAGTCCAGCAGCTGTCTGGTTTCTTCAGTGACTAAGTAATTTGGTACTCCCAGTGTCGATGGTGGCCTAAGTTGTAGAAAGAAAGGAAGGAAAAAGGAAAGAAAGAGAGAGAGGAAAAAAAAAAAAAAAAAAAGAAAGGGAGGGAGGGAGACCATCCAACTCCTGTCACCAGTTAAATAGCTCAAAATCAATCCAAAGTCTGTAGTGCAGTTTCCCTTGTTTACTGGAAAAATAGGCATTGCCTTCAGGTCCCGGGTCTACAACTAGTGACATAAATGTCTGACTCATATAAATTCTTGTAGGAACCCTCTGCCTGAATGTCTCTTTTTCCAGGGCTTCTTAGAAATAGAAATAACTTGTTTCACCCATCTCTACCTAAGAACCCCACAGATACCAAACTCCTTGAGGCTGGAAAGGACATGTAGAAGAGTCCTGACCTTGTGCCTCCTTTGCACCCATGAGGGGTAATTATAAATAGGAAATTATCCAAGTCCTTATTTCCCTCAGAGTACACAGAACACTTTCCTTTTCCCTGCATTTCCCGGAGCAAATAGCAGAAGCACCGAGCACCTCCGTGGGAGAAAGGAGAAATGGCAGTGTGTTGTTTAAAAAAAAAAAAAAAAGAAATCTGCTGTACAATCCAACTATTTAGTGAATTACAAATAGATTAATGCAGGCATTGAGTCCATTTCTGTTGGGCTGTTTCTTAAAATTTGCAAGTGAGCTTTAAGAAGAAATCACTTTAGTTGAAGAAAAAGTGGGATGTGTTGAGGCTGCATTTATACAGGCTCATGTGCATGTATGTATACAGATTATGTAATTTTTTTCCCCTAGGGACTCAATAGATCTTGATAATCCACAGGAGAACATTAAGGCCACCCAACTCCTGGAGGGCCTGGTGCAAGAGCTGCAGAAGAAGGCTGAACACCAGGTGGGGGAAGATGGGTTTTTACTGAAGATCAAGCTGGGGCACTACGCCACGCAGCTCCAGGTGGGTGTGGGCTCCAGGGTCACACTTCATTATCTTTCCTCGGAGGTCTTCTTCCTGTAGAGACTGACTTTCCTCCAGCCCAGCATCGTTGAGTTACACGTTACATGCATAAGGTTCTTAGTGTTTTGTTTTGGTCTGTTTGTTTTGTTTGTTTGTTTCACTTTTTATCTGAGAATAATTTCAAACTTCCAGAAAGTTACGAGAATCATACAAAGATTCCCCACCATCCCCAGATTCACATTTTGTTGACTTTTATGTTGTCTTATACTCCTCGCTGTCTCTCTACACACAACACATTTTTTAGCCACTGGAGAGTAAGTTGCATACCTTGTGTCCCTGCACTACTGAGTACCTCTGTGCCTTTTCTATTTTTAATCTTTATTTATTTATGTATATATTTTTGAGATGGAGTCTCGCTCTGTTGCCCAGGCTGGAATGTAGTGGCACAATCTCAGCTCACATGCAGTCTCCACCTCCCAGGTTGAAGTGATTCTCCTGCCTCAGCCTCCTGAGTAACTGGGATTACAGGAGCCCACCACCACACCTGGCAATTTTTTTTTTTTGTATTTTTAGTAGAGATAGGGTTTTGCCATGTTGGCCACGATGGTCTTGAACTGCTGACCTCAGGTGATCTGCCCACCTTGGCCTCCCAAAGTGCAGGGATTACAGGCGTGAGCCAGCTTGCCTGGCCCCTCTGTGCATTTTCTAAGAATGAACCTTGTCTTGCATGGTTATAATACACTGATCATCTTCAGTAAATTTAGCATTGATATAATACTTTTAGGTACTCTTCTGGATTTCCTTTTTTTTTTTTTTTTTTTTTGAGACGGAGTTTCGCTCTTGTTACCCAGGCTGGAGTGCAATGGCACGATCTCGGCTCACCGCAACCTCCGCCTCCTGGGTTCAGGCAATTCTCCTGCCTCAGCCTCCTAGTAGCTGGGATTACAGGCATGTGCCACCATGCCCAGCTAATTTTTTTTGTATTTTAGTAGAGACGGGGTTTCACCATGTTGACCAGGATGGTCTCGATCTCTTGACCTCGTGATCCACCCGCCTCGGCCTCCCAAAGTGCTGGGATTACAGGCTTGAGCCACCGTGCCCGGCCTTGGATTTCCTTTTTTATTTTTATTTTTTGAAATGGAGTTTTGCTCTTGTTGCAAAGAGCAAAAAGCTACTCGGGAGGCTAAGGCAGGAGAATTGCTTGAACCCATGAGGCGGAGGTTGCAGTAAACCAAGACCATGCCACTGCACTCCAGCCTGGGCGACAGAGTGAGACTCTGTCTCAAAAAGGAAATAATAATAATTCATGTACCCCCTACTTTTTAAAGATGAAATGTTCCTCATTCGGGGTTTGTCTGATGTTTCCTCATGATTATGTTCACGTTGCACATCTCCAAGTGGACTTCTAAACATAATTGGCTGTCCACATCCGTGGGTTCTGCATCCTCCGATGCCACCAAAATATTTAGGAAAATAAAGAAAGTAACAATACAACAATTTTTAAAATACAAATAAAAAAAGATATGACAGAACAGCTATTTACATAGTATTTCTTTTGTATTAGATAGTATAAGCCATCTGTAGGTGGTTCAAAGTGTACAGAGGATTGCATGGGTTCTATGCAAACAATACCATTTTATATAAGGAACTTGATCATCTGCAGATTTTGGTATCCAAGAGGGTCCTGGAACCAGCCCCCACAGATACCAAGGAACAACTGTAGGTGACATTGTATCCTTCTCGGGTATCACACCCAGAGGCAGGGAATGTCCCATGTCCCCTCAGTGGTATTAGTTTTGATTGCCCAGTTGAGGTGGTGTCCAGTTCCTCCTCTGGTAAGGCTTTTTTTTTTTTCTTCTGAGATGGACTCTCGCTCTGTGGCCCAGGCTGGAGTACAATGGCATGATCTTGCTCACCACAACCTCCACGTCCTGGGTTCAAGCGATTCTCCTTCGTCAGTCTCCCAAGTAGCTGGGACTACAGGCAGGCACCACCATGCCCAGCTAATTTTTGTATTTTTAGTAGAGGCAGGGTTTCACCTTGCTAGCCAGGCTGGTTTTGAAGTTTTGACCTCGTGATCCACCCACTTGAGCCTCCCAGAGTGCTGGGATTACAGGTGTGGGCCACCTCACCCAGCCCTGGTGAGGCTTTTAAAACTTACGTATTCCATTTTTGCTGGGTGCGGTGGCTCAAGCCTGTAATCCCAGCACTTTGGGAGGCCGAGGCGGGTGGATCACGAGGTCGAGAGATTGAGACCATCCTGGTCAACATGGTGAAACCCCGTCTCTACTAAAAATACAAAAAATTAGCTGTAATCCCAGCTACTCAGGAGGCTGAGGCAGGAGAATTGCCTGAACCCAGGAAGCGGAGGTTGCGGTGAGCCGAGATCGCGCCATTGCACTCCAGCCTGGGTAACAAGAGCAAAACTCCGTCTCAAAAAAAACAAACAAACAAAAAAAACAAAAAAAAACTTACGTATTCCATTTTTAAGAATGTTCCCCGAGTACTTTAGGCAAATTAAGATGCAAGAAGTAAAACAGCATTTTGAGAGGCCGAAGAAGGTGGATCACCTGAGGTCAGGAGTTCCAGACCAGTCTGGCCAACATGGTGAAACCCCATCTCTACTAAAAAGACAAAAATTAGCCAGGCATCATGTCAGGTGCCCGTAATCCCAGCTACTTGGGAGGCTGAGGCAGGAGAATTGCTTACCACTTGAACCTGGGAGGCAGAGGTTGCAGTGAGCTGAGACTGCACCCCTACACTCCTGCCTGGGTAACAGAGTGAGACTATAAAGGAAAAAAAAAAACAGAAGTAGTAAAACGATCTGACCTTTTCACTGTAACTGGGTTTCCATGATGTGCCTCTTTTTCCCATTGGTATTGGAGGAGCAGTGTCTCCTGTAATTGTGCCATCAGGTCCCTCAGGAGGCTCCCCATCCTGAAGCAGGGATAGGCTCCATAGTGTGGAGTGGCACAAAGTGATGTCTGCTATTGGATTCTTTCAGAACACGTATGACCGCTGCCCCATGGAGCTGGTCCGCTGCATCCGCCATATATTGTACAATGAACAGAGGTTGGTCCGAGAAGCCAACAATGTGAGTGTCCCGTGGGGATGGGGAGGGCATTCGGGAAGTCTTTTCTTACCCACCTCCCTCTGGACCCACCTTTGTCAAGGTGACTCAGGTGCACTATCGGTGTCTCTTTAAAAAGAAATCGTCCTAAGGGGCACAAAAGAAATAGGAGACGTGACTGAGTGTGGCGCAGCACTTTGGGAGGCTGAGGCAGGCAGATCGCTTGAGCCCAGGAGTTGGAGACCACCCTGGGCAACATGGTGAAACCCCATCTCTACCAATAATAAAAAAAAAAATGGCTGGACATGGTGGCACACTCCTGTAGTCCCAGCTGTTTGGAAAGCTGAAGTGGGAAGATCACTTGAGCCCAGGAGGTAGAGGCTGCAGTGAGCCATGATTGCACCACTGCACTCCAGCCTGGGTGATGGAGTGAGACCCTGTCTCAAAAAAAAAAAAAAAAGAAGAAGAAGAAGAAGAAATTGAAGACGTGGTCTCTGATCTTCACTGATTTATAACCTTGATGAGCTTGCAACCACAAAACAATACGAACAAGTGCAAAGTAATTTGACCTCAGCTGAATAATTTTTAGTAAAGGCATGCTCATATTCAGGTGAGAATGCTTAGCCCCTGAATCAGGTGTGGAATGAGTGGTCCGACCAGGTCACTTACAGGGCTGGATCCACAGAGACCTTGTTTATGCTTCCCCCATCACTTCATTTGGGGGTCTCCAGGATGCCTGTGAGAGGTCTGGCCTCTTCCGTGGTGGAGGCAGATGATGGCATCACGAGGCTGTCCTGAATGGGGACACAGCTGATGTGTGTTCACATGGCCCGCTCCCCACAGCCTCTCTAATGCTTAATGCCATCCTTGCCCTGGGTCGTGAGTGGAAGGGGAATCACTTCACCTCCTCATTAGTTGGAAAACCCAGGTGACCCTGAAACAGGTTACATTCTGGTCTCTCCAAAGGTAATTTGATAGATCCTGTTTGGGATACTCTGGTGGAGGTCAGATCTGCAGTGGAAGCTTCTCCCATGCTTTGTGATTTGAAGCATGATCTGTCCACTCACCTGTTTCTCACTTTTCGTACCCTACCCTATATCTTACACATGATGTTTGCTATTTCTCCAACTAAAAATTTACCTTTTGGGATCTTAGCCCGGTTGTAGGAGCTGGCATAAGCTTTTCCTGGGGATTAAGGCCTCAGCTTCCTGCCATTCCCACTGCCCTGCACTGCCCCCCATCTGTTCCCAGGGTAGTTCTCCGGCTGGAAACCTTGCTGACACCATGTCCCAGAAACACCTGCAGATCAACCAGACGTTTGAGGAGCTGCGACTCGTCACGCAGGACACAGAGAATGAGCTGAAGAAGCTTCAACAGACTCAGGAGTACTTCATCATCCAGTACCAGGAGAGCCTGAGGATCCAAGGTGAGGCTCGGTGTGGGGAGCCATGTGTGGGCTGAGGAGGGTGGGTGGGGGACTAGAAAGCAGCTCTGGTGAGGTTGGGAGAAAGCCCGTTTCCATTCAGAGGCGGTGACCTTTCTCTGAATAGCAGGGACTTGTCTGCATTGAAGACAGTGCTGAGAGGATGGGGGTTAGAAAGGGGAGATGACAGGGCACCTGCCCTTGAGTGCGGGTCTCACTCAGGTCCCCAGATCCAGGGAGCTCTGCGCTGCCAGGGAAAACATTTCCTCTTTTTAGAAGGAGCTCACAGTCTAAATACTCGAAGACATAATACTTTTGTATATAGTAGGCATATTAGATGTTGAGCTTTTTTGGTGCTAGGCATACAGAAATTTTAAAAAAAAGTTGCGCTTTACTGAAATGATAAATAGAAATTATATAATTACATGTTTAAAAAAATTTCTAGTTGGGCTCGGTGGCTCACACCTATAATCCCAGCACTATGGGAGGCTGAGGCCATCAGATCACCTGAGGTCAGACGTTCGAGACCAGCCTGGCCAACGTGGTGAAACCTCGTCTCTACTAAAAATACAAAATTAGTTGGGCATGGTGGCACACGCCTGTAATCCCAGCCACTTGGGAAGCTGAGGCAGGGGAATCGCTTGAACCCGGAAGGTGAAGGTTGCAGTGAGCCAAGATCTCACTATTGCACTCCAGCTTGGGTAAAAAGAGCAAAACTCTGTCTCAAAAAAAAAAAAAAATTATAAGCTAGAAGTGGTTTTGCACACCTATAATCCTGGTGCTTTGGGAGGCCAAGACAGGAGGATCACTTGAGGCCAGTAGTTTCAGACTAGCTTGGGCAATATAGCAAGAGCCTACTGTCTCTAAGAGGGAAAAACCTTTCTAAGCAGGGACAGTGTAAGTACTAAGGATCCGTATTTGTGGTAACTTGACTTCTAATATTCTGTGCAGTTATTCACAGAGGTCTTCCTGGAACAGAGTACACTGACGCAGCTTAGGTAGCCCCTATGGACAAAGCTCCCCTAGCCTGGTATGAATCCTGCTTAGTACTTGGGGCACAGAGAGCTTCAGTCTCTGTGAGGCTGTGGAGCCCCACCAGCGCCCCCTCTTGACCCTGTAGCAATTTGGCAGTTTGAGCTTTAATAGTTTCCTCTCTCTGCTTCCATGCCCAGTTCAGAGTCTCAGGGAAGCCTTATCTCAGCCACCCAGCCCCTGCAAACACACACACACAGCACGTGCTCCTCTCAGTCAGTGTATGTAGGCTCCATCTTATGTCTGTAGGGATATTACTTATTTACTCTTTGTCTCCTCCACTGGAATATAAATCTTTGAGAAGGGACTGTATCTTTTATCTCTGTACACTGAAGCCAGCACAGTGCTGGAAACTTAACAGTTACTGAGTCACGGTTGACTAGTTTATTCTAGTATGTCTTCCTGTTATCTGAACCTATCCCAGACTGGCCCTAGAAGAAGGGCAGCTCCTTCTGAGAATGGAAACGGGAGATTTCGGGCTGTTCTTCCTACCCAAGTCCTTAGACCGTCAACAGTGGTTCTGATCCCACACCTGGGTTTTCTGTTTCCTGGGCACAGTGATGGATTAGGTTTGGATCCATCATGCAATGTCTCCTCAGTCCCGTTTGTCAAGTTCACTCAGCAGAAACACAGACTGTTGATCTGTTTGTGCCAGGGAAGGCTCAGCTGCCTCCAGTGGGGTAGGGAAATTGCTTCCCATCTCCCTGGCCTCCTTCCCGAAAGCTTCCGCAAATTTCCAAGAGAGACATAAGTGGGTCTGTTGCATAGGAAGGCTGGGCCCAGGTGTTGGGATCACCACCACCCTCCCTGTGGCTGGGCAGGATTCCCGAGGTAGCTGTGCAGACACCTTGGATCTGTCCGTGCCTGGATGGTCCTCTTCATGCTGGATACCTGCAGTGAGACTGGAGCCATATTTTGGAATTCTAGCTCTGGGCTGCTCCTGGCTGCCTAGAGTTGCTTTTGTCTGTCCCAGCTTGTGCATCGTATGGGGGCAGGGCTGGGGTCAGGGTGATGTGGCCTTCGGGGGCCAGCCAGGAGCTCCACCAAGACATGCTGGTGTGCACATCTTCTGACTCAGCTCAAGCAAGGACACTGGGCTGTTGAGAAGGTGACAGGAGATTAATAGTCCCAGCATGGGGGACAGGGGCTGTCTTTGGGAGGTGGGGCGGGCCTGCCTGTGGTGGCTGTAACTGTAGCTGAGGACATGTTTAGTTCCTTAGGCTGCGTTATTCATACACAGGTGTTCCTGTGTGCCACATTCCCTGTGCCTTACGTATTTCATAATGGATACTTTTTGAAAAGGTAGTGAGGCCTGACTTACTCCCTGTCCCGCCATCGATGAGACTGCTCACAGCTGGTGTGGCGAGAAGCCACCTCCCTTTGGCCTCCCTTTCCTGAGAGAATCTGGGTGGCTCTGCCTCTCCAATGGGCCCTGGACATGCTCTCCCTCTGCTGTCTGTCTGTCTCCCCTGGTTGGTCGTCTGGGCTCACAGTTATGCTGGGCCCCTTCCAGCCCCTCGAGAAGTTCATCCTCCCCTGAGGTGGAACTGCTGTGCTCAGAGATGAAACAGAGCCAGGGCTGGGGGTCCCTTAGGAGGCCTTGCTGTAGAGGAATGGGGCCGAGCACCTGCTTGTCTCTGTCACTTCTCTCTGTCCCATTCCCCGTTAGACAAGAAAGATGAATCTCACACAGAGCTCACCCATGCCAGGCAGTCTTTTGGCATCTTCCATGTCCTCATGTATTTAATCTTCAAGCACCCCACTGAGGCAGGTGCCGAGATTCTCCTGTTTTACATGTGGGGAAGCTGAGGCACAGCAAAGGAAAGCATTTTGCCCACATTCATTCACAGCCAAGGTCACGGGCACACTTCCACCCTAAGCAGCTTGGCCCTGCCAGGCCGTGAGAAGAGGGCTGGCAGCCCTGTGGGGCAGGCAGACAGAAGACAGGCAGGCCTCCTCCCCCGCTGCCCCAGCACCCCGTGTGCCCGCAGAGGGGACGCTCAGAGTCAGGGCAAGCAGGGCCCAGAGGTGCCTCCTGAGGCACACATTCGTCTTGGTGCCCCTGGCTGTCAGGAACCCTGACTCGCCCTTGTTGCAGCCTCTGGGCCCGGGAGGGTCTCGCTCCAGAACGAGCAAGTGGGCTCCTCTGGGCCTCCTGTTGGATGCTGGGAGGTGACAGTCATGGTGCCCTGTCCCCTCCTCTAGCTCAGTTTGCCACGTTGGGCCAGCTGAGCCCCCAGGAGCGTCTGAGCCGGGAGTCGGCGCTCCAGCAGAAGCAGGTGTCCCTGGAGGCCTGGCTGCAGCGCGAGGCGCAGACGCTACAGCAGTACCGCCTGGTGAGTGGGGTCCTGGGCCTCTCCTGGGCATGGGTGCCACAAAGCCAGCCTCTGGGGACCCGAGGAAGGGCTGGGACCGGGATGAGAGCAGAACCTGGGAGGGCAGAAGGCCTTTTTACCTGGGGGCCATGCGAGGCAGAGCAGCCTGGGGAGAGAGAAGGGCCTGGGCCCCGCCCTGCCATTTCCCAGCAAGGCCCTGCGGGGTTGTCTGGGGGCCCAGAAGGGGCTGTTCTCCTCCCTCCCTCAGGAGCTGGCCGAGAAGCACCAGAAGACCCTGCAGCTGCTGCGGAAGCAACAGACCATCATCCTGGATGACGAGCTGATCCAGTGGAAGCGGCGGCAGCAGCTGGCGGGGAACGGCGGGCCCCCCGAGGGCAGCCTGGACGTGCTACAATCTTGGTAACGGTGTGGGGCGGCCAGCGGGCAGGGCAGGAGGGGCTGCGGGGACCCCGACTGCTTCTGCCTCCTGCGCTGGCTCCTGCAGCAGGCCCCCTCCGTCCTGGGACAGCTCGTTTCTGTAGGGGCCTGGGTCCTGATTCAGCCTTTGGTCCGCCGTCCAGTGCCACCTCCCCCAGGAAGGGGGCTGCTGTCCTGGGGGTAGGACAGGACTCGGGTGTGTGGAGTGACGTTCAGACCGGTTGGGCCTAGTCAGGGTCCCCTCCTGTGAACGTCTCTTTCTTTGCGGCAGGGAGCTCTGCTCTTGCTGTGGGTGGGAAGTGTGGGGAAAGCACAGAGCCTTCCTGGGGGAGGAGGAGCCGTGTCTTGGGGCTGGCTCTGGCCTGGAGTCTGTGCGGAAAAGCCACTGTCCTGTTGGCCTTGGGGCTCCGTGCAGGTGTGAGAAGTTGGCCGAGATCATCTGGCAGAACCGGCAGCAGATCCGCAGGGCTGAGCACCTCTGCCAGCAGCTGCCCATCCCCGGCCCAGTGGAGGAGATGCTGGCCGAGGTCAACGCCACCATCACGGACATCATCTCAGCCCTGGTGACCAGGTGACGGCTGCCTGTTGGCCATGCCCAGGGGCTTGGGGCAGCTCCCCTGGGGTGGGCGTGTGGGGGCCGCAGGTGCTTCCCAGACCAGCAGCTTCACCTTCATCCTTGTCTCTCTTGGCTTCTCATCCCTCCCCACTCCGTCTCCAGTTCCTGTGGCTGCTGGATGCCGCCCTTGCCCAGTTTCTCTTGTAGATACTGCAAGGGGTGCCCTTGGGTGGCAGCCCATGCCAGCTGCTGCGTTCATCTCACTCCCCCTCTCCAGCCTCTCCCTGGACTGTCACGGCTTCCTTGGGAACAGAGGCTGTGCCGTGCTCTTCCTCACCTGCTGAGCCCCTCGGGAGGCAGCCCCACTCCCACCACAGAGGGACCGAGACCCCCTTCCCCTGAGCCAGCCCCTCATCGAGCGTCCGTCCCTGTGTCCCCTGCAGCACATTCATCATTGAGAAGCAGCCCCCTCAGGTCCTGAAGACCCAGACCAAGTTTGCAGCCACCGTGCGCCTGCTGGTGGGCGGGAAGCTGAACGTGCACATGAACCCCCCCCAGGTGAAGGCGACCATCATCAGTGAGCAGCAGGCCAAGTCTCTGCTCAAGAACGAGAATACCCGCAAGTAATTGTGCAGCTGCTTCTCCTTCCCTGCTGCTTGTCTCACGTCCTGGCAACAGGAGAAAAGAATTCTGCCTCCTGTATCAGATCCCTGTCTCCCTCTCTGGCCTCTTCTGGCTGTCAGAGAAGAAATATAAGGAAGTTATTGGGCTGGGCCTGGTGACTCATACCTGTAATCCCAGCGCTTTGGGAGGCCGAGGTGGGCAGATCACCTGAGGTCAGGAGTTTAAGACCAGCCTGGCCAACCTGGCGAAACCCCATCTCTACTAAAAATACAAAAAATTAGTTGGGCATGGTGGTAAGCACTGTAATTCCAGCTACTCTTGAGCTTGGGACAGGAGAATCGCTTAAACCCAGGTGGTAGAAGTTGCAGTGAGCCAAGGTTGTGCCACTACACTCCAGCCTGGGCAAGAGCAAAACTCCATCTCAAAAAAAAAAAAAAACCAGGTTCTTCGATGAACTGTTTTCTGTGAATATTGTTTGATTTTGTTTCATTTTGTAGTGGTATGTCTGAGAAAATTACATATGTGTTATATAGCTAACATATCCTTTAAAGGATGTACATTTTTAGCAACCTTCTCTATTTCCTGCTACCCCAAATTATATTATGTACCTCGCGTGTCCTGAGTCCCTGGCCTGGGTTTGGAGCTGATCTCTCTCTGATTTGCAGTGATTACAGCGGTGAGATCTTGAACAACTGCTGCGTGATGGAGTACCACCAAGCCACGGGCACCCTTAGTGCCCACTTCAGGAACATGGTGAGGGTGGAAGAAGAGGAAGAATGAATGTTTTCCAGTTCTTAGAGAACAACTTTCATCTATGTCTCATATTCCTCCTTTGCAGTCCCTAAAACGAATTAAGAGGTCAGACCGTCGTGGCGCAGAGTCGGTGACAGAAGAAAAGTTTACAATCCTGTTCGAATCCCAGTTCAGTGTTGGTGGAAATGAGCTGGTTTTTCAAGTCAAGGTAAAGCCTTCCCTCAGCTCTGTGTGTGTGTGTTTGTGGCGGTGAGGGGGGTTGTACTTCATTTTATTAAAGAATTTTTTTTTAATCACACAGCATCTTCTTCTTTTTGACTGTTGGTAAATTGGAAATGGACTGACCTCACACTGAGAACTGTATCTCTTAGATTCTCTTAAGACATGAACAAAGGCCAGGCACAGTGGCTGACGCCTATAATCCCAGCACTTTGGGAGGCTGAGGCAGACAGATCACTGAGGTCAGGAGTTCAAGACCAGCCTGGCTAACACAGTGAAACCCTGTCTCTACTAAAAATTTAGCCAGGCATGGTGGTGTTCACCTGTAATCTCATCTACTCAGGATGCTGAGAGGGGAGAATCACTTGAACCCAGGAGGCTTGAGGTTGCAGTGAACTGAGATCGCGCCACTGCACTCCAGCCTGGGCAAAAGAGTGAGACCCTGTCTCAAAAAACAAAACAAAACATGAACAAGCAAGGCCCAGTGCAGTGCTCACACCTGTAATCTCAACACTTTGGGAGGCTGAGGCAGGAAGATTGCTTGAATTCAGGAGTTCAAGACCAGCCTGGGCAACATAGTGAGACCTTGTCTCGACCAAAAAATTAAAATTAAAATTAAACATGAACAAACAGTAATGAACTGAACTAGTTGGACAGATAGACTACAAAATGGATTATGAGAAACATTACTCGGGACGAATTTGAGTAGAGGTTGGGGTAAGTTTTACACATTTGTTATTTGTAATTTTTTTCCCAGAAATGTCTCCAGTAGTCTCTTTTGTCTCTCCTGTTCTTCATGTAACTTTGAGACACTTTATCCTTCAGAAATATCTAAGCAACATTGCTTATAAAATATTTAAAATTTCTAAGATTGTGCCAGGGTGAAAAGTCATATTATTCCCAGAGCTGTTTAGATTCTGTATCTGAGAGGAACGTTCACTGACACTTAGAAAAGGAAAGTGTTGTGATAGTCAGAGAAGGAGAAGAACTTGAGGCTTGTGGGCGCTCAGCCTTCTCTTGTGTGTTTTTAGACCCTGTCCCTACCAGTGGTGGTGATTGTTCATGGCAGCCAGGACAATAATGCGACAGCCACCGTTCTCTGGGACAATGCTTTTGCAGAGCCGGTGAGTGGATTCCTCGGGCACGTGGGTCTCCAAATCAATGCCAGTGTCATGAACCTCATTTATGTATTATCCCTTTAAAAAGCATAAGAGCCGGGCACAGTGGTTCACACCTGTCATCCCAGTACTTTGGGAGGCCGAGGTGGGTGGATCACAAGGTTGAGGTGGTCAGATCACAAGGTCAAGAGATCAAGACCATCCTAACCAACATGGTGAAATCCCATCTCTATTAAAAATAAAAAAAAATTAGCTGGGCATGGTGGTGCATGCCTGTAGTCTCAGCTACTTGGGAGGCTGAGACAGAAGAATCACTTGAACCCGGGAGGCAGAGGTTGCAGTGAGCCGAGATCACACCACTGCACTCCAGCCTGGGCGACAGAGCAAGACTCTGTCTTAAAAAAAAAAAAAAAAATTAGCTGGGCATGGTGGTGCGTGCCTGTAATCCCAGCTACTCAGGAGGCTGAGGCAGGAGAATTGCCTGAACCCAGGAGGCAGAGGATGCGGTGAGCCGAGATCGCGCCATTGCACTCCAGCCTGGGTAACGAGCGAAACTCCGTCTCAAAAAAAAAAAAAAAAAAAAGCACTGGAAAAGGCTGGGTGCAGTGGCTCATGCATATAATCCCAGCACTTTGGGAAGCTGAGGCAGGTGCATCACCTGAGGTCAGGAATTTGAGACCAGCCTGACCAACATGGTGAAACCCTGTCTTTTATTTAAAAAAAAAAGAAAAGAAAAGAAAAGAAAAATTAACCAGGCATGGTACACCAGCCTGTAGTCCCAGCTACTTGGGAGGCTGAAGCGGGAGGATTGCTTGGGCCCAGAAGGTCCAGACCGCAGTGAGCCAAGATCACGCCTCTATCTTCCAGCCCAGGTGACAAGGCAGCACCCTGTCTCAAAAAAAAAAAAAAAATTTTTTTTTTTTTTACTAGACAAAGTTCTATTTGTTACATATTTTCAACAGAGACGAGTCCATGAAAGCATGATAAAAGGGTTATTATTTGGGATATAAGAGTATGTCCTCTAAGTATGTCCAACAGACCTTGACTATGTTTTGTTTTGTGGCTATTAGAACATAGGATTTGACTGTTAGTTCAGCAGCTCATTTACAAAACAGCATGGATTGCATGGGTTACCTTCCAGTTGTGTGTAAAGAAGGTAAATGGAACCTTCTGGTTCATGTGGAGAGGCTTAACATTTCCCAGCAGCCCTCTTTCAAGAACAATATTTTACTGCAAAGGTGAGATTTTTAAAAGAGATTCTACCATGTTTCACTTACAAACCTTGAATTGGAGGCTCCTTTTTGAAAATATCTGCCTTCCTCTTGTCCTGATAAGCCTCCTGGATAAGATGCTCACATCTCTTATTTCCTTCCTGCCTGTATACAGATCCACTCTCTGTGTAACTTCCGCATCTCCTGTACCATGTAATTACTGAAGTATCTTGTCTAAATAAATAAGCATTTTTTTTAAATTCTGTTATTTTTATTTTATAAATAAGCATTTTTAACATTGTCAGCTATGTTAATGACTACTGTATATCTTATGCTGCTTTATTTTTTTAATTTTTGAGATGGAATCTCCCTCTGTCACCCAGGCTGGAGTACAGTGGCATGATCTTGGCTCACTGCAGCTTCTGCCTCCTGGGTTCAAGCTATTCTGCCTCAACCTCCCAAGAAGCTGGGATTACAGGCATGTGCCACCACACCCAGTTAATTTTTTGTATTTTTAGTAGAGACCGGGTCTCACCATGTTGGCCAGGCTGGTCTCAAACTCCTGACCTCAGGTGATCCACCCACCTCAGCCTCCCACAGTGTGGGAATTACAGGCGTGAGCCACTACATCCAGCCAATCTTATGCTATTTTAAAATAAAGACTTTTGGCCAGACACGGTGGCTCACGCCTGTAATCCCCGCACTTTGGGAGGCCGAGGTGGGCAGATCACCTGAGGTCAGGAGTTTGAGACCAGCCTGGCCAACATGGTGAGACCCCCCATCTCTACTAAAAGTACAAAAATTAGCTGGACGTGGTGGCACGTGCCTGTAATCCCAGCTACTCGGGAGGCTGAAGCAGGAGAATCACTTGAATCCTGGAGGCAGAGGTTGCAGTGACCTGAGATCATGCCACTGCACTCCAGCCTGGGCAACACAATGAGACTCTGTCTCTAAAAACTAAAAACTGAAAAATAAAATAAAGACCTGTGGCCAGCCACGGTGGCTCATGCCTGCAATCCCAGCACTTTGGGAGGCCAAGACAGGTGGATCACTTGAGCCCAGGAATTTGATTCCAGCCTGGTCACGTGGCAAAACCCTGCCTCTACAAAAATTAGGCTGGTGTGGTGGTGTGTGCCTGTGGTTCCAGCTGTTTGAGAGGCTGAGGTGGGAAAATTGCTTGAGCCAAGGAGGCAGAGATTGCAGTGAGCCAAGACTGAGCCACTGCACTCCAACCTGATGACAGAGCAAGACCTTACTCCGAAAAGAAATTACTTGTGGCAATTTATTCTCCAGGGGTATTTGCCTGTGTGTCCTGTGGGTCAAATAACGTAAGAATATTGCAGCATTGTTAGTAATAGCTAAAGATAAGCTATTACACTGATGCCCATCTACAGGAGTCTGGTAAAATTTCTTTACGTGCTGATATGAGGTCTCCCCAATGGAGTATTCAGTGAAAAGAGGAAGATGCAGAACATGTGGATTTTGTGCTACCATTTATTAAAAAAGGAAAAATCATATGTCATTGCTGGCATGCTTAGAATATCTTTGGTGGTATGCACAGGAAACTATGTTAGGTGCCTTTAAGGAAAAGAGCCAGGTTGCTGGGAGACAGGGATAGGGGAGTGACTTCACTGTGTAGCCATCTATGCCTTTTGAATTTTAAGTCATGTGAAAATCACCTATGGAAAAAAATTTATAACAAAATGGAGTACTAGGACTAAAATGGGTTGAAAAGCAGTTTATTAAAAATTAATATTCTAACCTATTTCTCAGTCAAACTGTCCAGCTCACAATTTCCACTCTTTCATACCAAGTTGTTTTACTTTGAGCTGGAGTTCTTGGCAGAAGGAGTCGAGGGCACGGATTCCATGTGTGTGCACACATGCTTATACGTGTACACACATACGCGCACACACTCTCTCCTCGTACCTAGAGGACCAGTCTTTCAGATTTCTAAATTCCTAAGGTGATTACAGTCCAAGAGCCGGACCTTGGTTATGTTTTGGTTTGTGGCTGTGAGAACAAAGGATTTGATTGTTAATTCAGTAGCTCATTTACAAAACAGCATAGATAGCATGGGTTACCTTCTAGTTGTGTGTAAAGAAGATGAAATGGAACCTCCTGAATTTCAGGGGACTTCGTACCCCAACAGAGTCTGAATTTACCCTCAGGCTGCCCTGCAAGACAAATGTGTGTATCCACCCCCAGCCATCAGGGTTTTTCTTCTGTGGCTTGAGGGAATAAATCATGCAACTGTTTTCTCATAAGATTCTGGCCTCTCTCCCTCTCAGGGCAGAGTGCCATTTGCCGTGCCTGACAAAGTGCTGTGGCCGCAGCTGTGTGAGGCGCTCAACATGAAATTCAAGGCCGAAGTGCAGAGCAACCGGGGCCTGACCAAGGAGAACCTCGTGTTCCTGGCGCAGAAACTGTTCAACAACAGCAGCAGCCACCTGGAGGATTACAGCGGCCTGTCCGTGTCCTGGTCCCAGTTCAACAGGGTGAGGGGCCCGGCCACCAGCCTCTGTTAGATCAGTCCCTCCCAGCCAGACACCCTCAGGAGTCTCCCTGCCCACGCCTTTATTCTTCCTGTCTTTAATAGACATACCAAAAGTAGCAGAAGCTTCTGACTAGATGGGCAACTTGAGAGTTACCCAGGTCACGTGTAGAAAATTACATCTTTGCACATTTTAAATAAGTTGGGCTTTGTCTACAGTTCATGCAGTTTCTTCCTTTGTAAAGGAAAGAGAGTAAAGCACACGTTCACATAGCTCATCAAAAGCAAAGCTTTTGAAGTGATTCGAGCTCCAGTGCTCTTTCCCCTTCGCTTTCTTATGTTCCCCGATGTGTAATGCCAGATTAGGCTCCTATGGGACCCTCAACCCACACAAGGGGATGCTGATGAAAGAAACTTCTCTAGCATCTGGTAATTCAGATGTCACTTTGATTTTTATTGATTGATTGATCGATTTTTGAGACAGTCTCACTGTGGTGTGAAGAGTGCAGTGGTGCCATCTTGGCACTATCTTGCAAGCAATTCTCCTGCCTCAGCCTCCCAAGTAGGTGGGATTACAGGTGCCTGCCACCACTCCCAGCTAATTTTTGTATTTTTAGGGGAGACAGGGTTGCACCATGTTGGCCAGGCTGGTCTCAAACTCCTGACCTCAAGTGATCTGCCCACCTCAGCCTCCCAAAGTGCTGGGATTACAGGCATGAGCTACCACTCCCAGCTGTCCCTTTGATTTTCATTTAACTTTTGTTTCTTTTCCTACACCCTCACCCCCAAGGTGTTTGAAACGTCCTTAATTTGGAGCTTAACAATGTGCTGTTCTCAGAAGCTCCCAGGTGATACTGATGCTGCTGGTCACAGACCACACATCGAAACTAGGAAGGGGACAGGTCAGCCCAGCCCCGGGTGGAAGTGTCTATAGCACGAGTCCTCTGGGTGTTGGTAACTGCAGTTTGGTATTTTCCTCTTCTTCCCTCTTTTCCTCTCCATTCCATTTTTCGGTTGTGGAACCATTAGGTGAAACTCAGGTCTGCCTCTGACAAGTGTAGATGTTTGCTTCCCATTTAATTTTTCAAGTTAAAGTATGTGTGTAATATGCCAAGTGTTAACTTTTGTTTTCTTGCGTTCACTACTATTGTATCTCCAACCAGGAGAATTTACCAGGACGGAATTACACTTTCTGGCAATGGTTTGATGGTGTGATGGAAGTGTTAAAAAAACATCTCAAGCCTCATTGGAATGATGGGTGAGAATCATTATTTCTTAAGGCACCAACAGAACCCAAAGGTCTTCTTTCTGGCATCAATAAGTCACACTCTGCTTCTGTCCTTTGTCCTTGGTGATCCAGGGCCATTTTGGGGTTTGTAAACAAGCAACAGGCCCATGACCTACTCATTAACAAGCCAGATGGGACCTTCCTGCTGAGATTCAGTGACTCAGAAATTGGCGGCATCACCATTGCTTGGAAGTTTGATTCTCGTGAGTGCCCCTCCCTTCTTATGTCCAGAGTTAGCTGCTTTTGTTACAAAATTATTTTCACAAATAATTTATCGGGCACTTATTCTTTGCTGGGGTCAGTACTAATTATGAGAAACACAAATGTAGAGCCATGCATACTTATAAGGCAGCCTATGAAAAATACTATTATGGGAAACACAGTTACTTATTTGGTTATACATGGAAGTATATGGCATATGGCAACATGGTTATACATGAAAGTATAACCATGACATGGCTGCCTATGATACAAGAGTCTGTGCAGAATCTCAGTTGCTTCCCTCTTGAAATGTCTGCCTTATTTTATTACTCTGTGGAAAGCTCATTTCAGTGAAGAATGATCTCGATGATTTGGAGCCCTTAACAGTAGTAAAATATTCCTTTCTCCTAATTAACATACAGATATTGCCATCAACCATTTCTTTTTTTTTTTTTTGAGATGGAGTTTCGCTCTTGTTACCCAGGCTGGAGTGCAATGGCGCGATCTCGGCTCACCGCAACCTCCGCCTCCTGGGTTCAGGCAATTCTCCTGCCTCAGCCTCCTGAGTAGCTGGGATTACAGGCACACGCCACCATGCCCAGCTGATTTTTTGTATTTTTAGTAGAGACGGGGTTTCACCATGTTGACCAGGATGGTCTCGGTCTCTCGACCTCGTGATCCACCCGCCTTGGCCTCCCAAAGTGCTGGGATTACAGGCTTGAGCCACCGCGCCCGGCCGCCATCAACCATTTCTAGCCAAGATGTTAGTTCTTTTCTTTTTTTTGTAACAGGGTCTCTTTTGCCCGGGATGGAGTGCGGTGGTGCAAACGTGACTCACTGCTGCCTTGACCTCCTGGCCTCAAGCAATACTCCTGTCTCAGCCTCCCAGTTAGCTGGGACCACAGACGTGCACCACCACCCCCATCGAATTTTTAAGTTTTTTGTATGTTGCCCAGGCTGGTCTCGAACATGTGGGCTCAAACAATCCCTTGCTTTGGCCTTCCAGAGTATTGGGATTACAGGCGTGAGCCACTGCACCAGGGCATCAGGAATGTTAGTTCCTTCCTCTGACCCTCACAATAAGGGTAGCTTGCCAGTTCGTTTTTTGTGACTTAAAGTTTTTAATAAGTTTTGTCTGGATCCGGTGGCTAATGCCTGTAATCCCAGCACTTTGGGAGCCTGAGGCAGGAGAATCTCCTGAGGCCGGGAATTCAAGACCAGCCTGGACAACATAGCAAAACCTTGTCTCGAAAAAAAAAATTTTAAATAAATAAATAAATAAGCTAATTAGCTAGCCGGGCATGGTGGTGCTCGTGGTGTATGCCTGTAGTCCCAACTACTCTGGAGGCGAGGTGGGATGATCACTTGACCCCAGGAGTTCAAGGTTACAGTGAGTCATGATCACACCACTGTATTCCAGCCTGGGCAGCAGTGAGATCCTGTCTTTAAAAAAAAAAAAAGGCCGGGCGCGGTGGCTCAAGCCTATAATCCCAGCACTTTGGGAGGCCGAGGCGGGTGGATCACGAGGTCGAGAGATCGAGACCATCCTGGTCAACATGGTGAAACCCCGTCTCTACTAAAAATACAAAAAAATTAGCTGGGCATGGTGGCACGTGCCTGTAATCCCAGCTACTCAGGAGGCTGAGGCAGGAGAATTGCCTGAACCCAGGAGGCGGAGGTTGCGGTGAGCCGAGATCGCGCCATTGCACCCCAGCCTGGGTAACAAGAGTGAAACTCCGTCTCAAAAAAAAAAAAAAAAAAAAAAATTCATCACTTTTAATAGCTCTTACACTTTCTCTGTTTGTGGGCATGCTTGGTAGCTCTTATATATCTTTGTATGGGGAATCGGGGATTGGGGTTAATAAGAACTGTTTCTTCTCCTGAGGGCTAGAATACTGTTTGAACCTGAAACTATTGAGATCATTGGATAACTTGGGAAGTGATTTGTTTATAACCTGCTTATATACCCATGGCTTTTATCTTTATTTTTATTTATTTATTTATTGAGATGGCGTCTCTGTCACCCAGGCTGGAGTGCAGTATCATGATCTCAGCTCACTGCAACCTCTGCCTCCCAGGTTCAAGCCATCCTTCTGCCTCAGCCTAGGAGCTGGGACTACAGATGAGCGCTACCACGCCTGGCTAATTTTTGTATTTTTAGTAGAGATGGAGTTTCACCATGTTGGCCAGGCTGGTCTTGAACCCATGACCTCAGGTGATCTGGCAGCCTTGGCCTCCAAAAATGTGGGATTACAGGTGTGAGCCATCGTGCCTGGCCCCTACCCATGGCTTCTTTTTTTTTTTTTTTTTTCATTTTTGAGCTACCAGGATACCACGACCCATGGCTTTTAAAACTATTTCATCTGTAACTCATGGTTATTTTTAAATGGAGATTTCTATTGGAGGCATTATAATGGCAAGCTTGAATTTATAGTATGTTTAAGTTTTAAGATTTCCTATTCAGAAATTATGTTTAGAATATGATCATTCTGTTTCTTGATCTAGAGGAAAGAATGTTTTGGAATCTGATGCCTTTTACCACCAGAGACTTCTCCATTCGGTCTCTAGCCGACCGTTTGGGAGACTTGAATTACCTTATCTACGTGTTTCCTGACCGGCCAAAAGATGAAGTATACTCCAAATACTACACACCAGTTCCCTGCGAGTCTGCTACTGGTAACAATGTTCGCATTCTGATTTGATTTCGTTGCGATTTTGGTTGTGTGTGTGTCTGTGGGTGCATGTGATGTCTCTTGCATGAAAACCTACACAATTAGCATTCGGTTACAGCAGTTTGAGCATTTTCCAGCGCAGATGTAAACCCTGGGCTGTATTCTTCAGTCATACAGAAAACACATCTGGCACTAATCCCAAATATCAAACAGAAGAAAAAACAAATTCCTTCTAATACAAGCTTAGAGCAAACAAACTTAGAGAGGTAAAATTTTGTTTTTCATGACAGATGGTTTTATTGCTTTGAGTCTAGAAGTATTATATATTTATTATAAAATTTTCAGAAGACATGTAGAGGCATAAAAAAGAAAACAGGCCAGGCACAGTGGCTCACACCTGTAATCCCAGCACTTAGGGAGGCTGAGGCAGGTGAATCATTTGAGGTCAGGAGTTCGAGACCAGCCTGGTCAACATGGTGAAACCCCATCACTACTAAAAATACAAACATTAGCCAGGTGTACACTGTATTCCAGCCTAGGCGACAGAGCGAGGCTCTGTCTCAAAAATTTAAAAAAAAAATTAAACACAAATATATTCATTTAGTGATGGGTGCTCTGAAGACCCATAAAGCAAGGTAGAGGGATAGAGAAGGGGCAGGGAGGAGGGTGGAGGTGTCATTTCACTAGAGTGCTCAAAGAGGGTTTCTCTGAGAATGTGATTTTTTTTTTTGAGATGGGGTCTTACTTTGTTGCCCAGGCTGGAGTGCATTGCTCACTGCAGTCTCAGACTCCTAGGCTCAAGTGATCCTCCCACCGAAGCCTTCCACATAGCTGGGACTATACACATGCATCACTAATCCTGGTTAATCATTTTATTTTTATAGAGATGAGGTCTTGCTCTGTTTCCCAAGCTGGTCTTGAAAGCCTGGGCTCAAACAGTTCTCCTTCCTCAGCTCCTCAAGTGTCTGGGATTATAGGCATGAGCCACTGCACCCAGCCAGGATATGTTGGAAAAGACCTCAGCGAAGTGAGGAAGCTAGCCATATACAAAGATCTAGAGAAAAAATACGCTGTGCCAAGAGAACAAGTACAGAAATCCTGGGTTGAGAATGGGCATGTCTGGAAAGCCTCAGGAGGGCCGGGGAGGCTGGAGCCTGTTGAGCAGGGAAGGTAAGTGGTAGGAGCTGAGGTCAGAGCACTCTGGCCTTGGAGTTCAAGGTGCAAGATTGGGGTTTGGACCATACCATATGAAATCTTTTGTGACTTTTTTTTTTTTTTTCACTTAGAAATATATCCTAGGTAGCTGGGCATGGTGGCTCACACATGTAATCGCAGCACTCTGGGAGGTCAAGGTTGGCAGATCACTTGAGGTCAGGAGTTTGAGACCAGCCTGGCCAACATGGTGAAACCCTGTCTCTACTAAAAATTGCAAAAATTAGCTAGGCGTGGTAGTGGGCACCTGTAATCCCACCTACTTGGGAAGCTGAGGCAGGAGAATCACTTGAACCCAGGAGATTGCCCCACTGCACTCCAGCCTGGGCAACAGAGCCAGACTCTGCCTCAAAACAAAAAAGAAAAGAAATATATCCTAGGCAGAGTTACAGCTCAGTAAATGTAATCTTCCAACATCAATTTGATGATTGCATTGTATGGTGAGTTCATGCTGGTGATTTAAGATACTTATAATTTGGGCCTGGGCACAGTGGCTCATGCCTGTAATCTCAGCACTTAGGTAGGCCAAAGGGGGAGGATTCCTTGGGCCTAGGAGTTTGAGACCAGCCTGGACAACATGGTGAGACCCTGTCTTAAAAAAATTAAAAATGAGCCCAGGAATTTGAGACTGCAGTGAGCTATGATTGTGCCATTGCACTGTAGCCTTTGTGACAGAGCAAGACCCTATCTCAGGAAAAAAAAAAAAAATCCTGGCCGGGCGCAGTGGCTCAAGCCTGTAATCCCAGCACTTTGGGAGGCCGAGGCGGGTGGATCACGAGGTCGAGAGATCGAGACCATCCTGGTCAACATGGTGAAACCCTGTCTCTACTAAAAATACAAAAAAAATTAGCTGGGCATGATGGCGCATGCCTGTAATCCCAGCTACTCAGGAGGCTGAGGCAGGAGAATTGCCTGAACCCTGGAGGCGGAGGTTGCGGTGAGCCGAGATCGCGCCATTGCACTCCAGCCTGGGTAACAAGAGCGAAACTCCGTCTCAAAAAAAAAAAAAAAAAAAAAAAAATCCTATTTCTGGCAGCATTTCTTTGGTTTTTAGCTTCTTAGCCAATCTATAAAATTATCTGAATTAGCCGTGCGGGGTGGCACATGCCAGCAATCCCAGCTACTGGGGAGGCTGAGGTAGGAGAATTGCTTAAACTCAGGAGACAGAGGTTGTGATGAGCTGAGATTGCACGATTGCACTCCAGCCTGGGCAACAAGAGCGAAACTCCGTCTCAAAAAATAAAATAAATTCTCTGTACACTGTAAAGCACAAAAACATGAGGTGTTATGAAAAGTCGCTCGAAGCCCTAGAAGAAGCAAATTGGGATAATAAGCAGTTGGTGAACCTTGCAGCATTTCACCCTCTTGGGCTACTTAAATGACAGGCTCTTTGTTCTGTAACCATAGTGTGATCGCCGTTGCCTAGTATAATTAACGTTGTCCTGATCCCCGTATTCACATACCCGGAAACAAGACTTCATTCACCCGTGTCAGAGATCACATTGTTACTACCTGCTTACCTGAATGTCCATAGTCAGCCTTCAGAAAAGGTAACTCTGGCCGACCAGATCAGGTTTATCTGCTCATCTGTCACATTCCAGTGGGAATTCTGTGGGAAACAAGAGGCACATCGCATTCTTGGCACCGACAGCGCTCACTGTGACTAGTGACCATCAGAGTCCCCCAAATGCAGAAACGCAAGGCATTAAGGAGCATGCAGGTGCCAGGAAAAGCAGCCTTCCCTTTCCTGAAAGACTAGACACTCAGAGTTAGAGGGACCTCAGACATCATCAAGTCAGATCAGCAGCTCTTCAGTGCTTAGGTCTTTCTGCAAGAATCCTGACCACTGTGTATGCACCTGCTTGAAAATGTCTAGCGATGGTTAGGCACTATGGCCCATGCCTGTCATCCCAACACTTTGGGACACCAAGGCAGGTGGATGACTTGAGGTCAGGAGTTCAGGACCAGCCTGACCAACATGGAGAAACCCCGTCTCTACCAAAAATACAAAAAGTAGTCGAGCATGGTGCTGCATGCCTGTAATCCCAGCTACTCAGGAGGCTGAGGCATGAGAATCGCTTGAACCCAGGAAGCGGAGGTTGCAGTGAGCCAAGATCACACCACTGTACTCCACTGTGGGCAACAGAGCGAGACTCTGTCAAAAAAGGAAAAGAAAAGAAAAGAAAACCTCCAGTGACAAGGAAATCAGTTCTTCCTAAGGTAAACCATTTCTTTTCTGGGCAGTTCTTCTTAGAACATTCTTCCCTACATGACTGAACATTTGTCCTCTTATGACCTGCCCCTCCTGGTCCTGATTTTATCCCCTGGGTCAGGTAGAACAAATCTTGTCTCTCTGCTGCATCTTGGACTTTAAGCTTTTCACGTTTTTTTTTTAATTATTATTATTATTATTTTTTTTTTTTTTTTTGAGACGGAGTTTCGCTCTTGTTACCCAGGCCGGAGTGCAATGGCGCGATCTCGGCTCACCGCAACCTCCGCCTCCTGGGTTCAGGCAATTCTCCTGCCTCAGCCTCCTGAGTAGCTGGGATTGCAGGCATGTGCCACCATGCCCAGCTAATTTTTTGTATTTTCAGTAGAGACGGGGTTTCACCACGTTGACCAGGATGGTCTCGATCTCTCGACCTCGTGATCCACCCGCCTCGGCCTCCCAAAGTGCTGGGATTACAGGCTTGAGCCACCGCGCCCGGCCTTTTTTTTAATTATTATTAGTAGTATGCAATTAATGCTTGGCTTTAGATTTGTATTGAAACACATAGTTCCCTGGTTTGAAGAATTTATTGAAACATCCATGCCAGTTTGAAAGGTATCTTGAATGTCTGTTTCAGTGTTGACCTTCTCCTCTACCAGGTCTTCCTAACAGATTGAAATATTAAGTGCTTGACCAAGTGCGGTGGCTCACGCCTCTAACTTTGAGGGACTGAGGTGGGCGGATCACTTGAGATCAGGAGTTAGAGAACAGCCTGGGCAACGTGGTGAAACCCCATCTCTACTAAAAATACAAAAATTAGCCGAAGTGTCGTGGTGCACCTGTGATCCAGCTACTCAGGAGGCTGAGGCATAAGAATCAGTAGAACCTGGGAGGCAGAGGCCGCAGTGAGGCCGAGATCCCACCACTGTACTTCAGCCTGGATGACAGGTTGAGACTCTGTTGTAAAACAAACAAACAAAAAGAAATATTAAGCGCTTGTGTCATATCCTTAGATAAGTGAGGTGGTTGTGTCCTGTCCTAAGAAAAGGTGTAATTCGCTGGGCGCAGTGGCTCACGCCTGTAATCCCAGCACTTTGGGAGGCTGAGGTGGGTGGATCACCTGAGGTCAGAAGTTTGAGACTAGCCTGACCAATACGGTGAAACCCCATTTTAAAAAAAGAAAAAAGAAAGAAAGAAAAGAAAAGGCATAATTCATAACGAAGATCACATTTTTATTTCACTTGAGAGCTTCGATTCACTACCATTCTCCCCTTGGCAGCTAAAGCCGTGGATGGATACGTGAAGCCACAGATCAAGCAAGTGGTCCCTGAGTAAGTGTCCAGGTGGCTCCGACTCTCCTGCCTCTTTCCTCCTCCCCCAGACCCTGCCTCTTGTCCTGATCTTGGGCCCAGCTCTCCGATCCCCCAGGAAACCTGACTCAGCCCTGGGGAGGGACCTGGGCTTGGTCACGCTGTGCCAGTACCCGCGGCCCTACTCCTGCTTCTGGAGCCCCAGGGCCAGTGGGCACTTTGTCCCTCTCACTGTCCAAGAGTATAGCTGTAGCAGAGGGGCCAAGAAAGACAAAGATGCCTCTTGGTGCCCTCCCAGGTCACCTGCCCCGGCCTCTCTGGTGGCTGAGCTCTGTTCTCTTCCTTCTGCAGGTTTGTGAATGCATCTGCAGATGCCAGTGGGGGCAGCAGCGCCACGTACATGGACCAGGCCCCCTCCCCAGCCGTGTGCCCCCAGGCTCACTATAACATGTACCCACAGAAGTAGGTGGCGTTCTCGTGGGGGTCCACGGAGGAGGAACTGGGGACTTGGCCCCAGCCTGGACTCCTGCTGGGGTGGTGGGCAAAGAATCCAGAGCCACCCAGTCCGGGCCTGGCCTCTGGCCCTTGGGAGGGAGAGATTTGACCAGAAATGATCAGTGGTTTAGAGTCGAGTTGGGCAGATACCATCTGTTCCCCTCTCTCGAAATGGAGGTGTTTCTTCCTCTAAGGACAGTGGAGTTGTGATGTGTCTGGACAGCCCGTGTGAGAGGTATGGGGAGGATGTTTCAGTCTAAGTTGCTGTACGCCAGCTGTTCGGATCGTAGTTCTTTCTCATGAAGCCCCAGGCCGAGGGCATAGGCTGGGTCAGACTGCCCCCCGACCCGCGTCCTGTGGGGCTTGGGGTGGTCTCTGACAGCCTTTCCTCCTCCCCTTCATCCCTCTTCTTTCCCTCCCAAGCCCTGACTCAGTCCTTGACACCGATGGGGACTTCGATCTGGAGGACACGATGGATGTGGCACGGCGCGTGGAGGAGCTCCTGGGCCGGCCGATGGACACTCAGTGGATCCCGCACGCACAGTCGTGACCCTCGACCTCCCCATCTGCCGCTTCTTCATCCTCGCCAGAGGAATCACTCTTGTGGATGTTTTAATTCCATGAATTGCTTCTCTTTGGAAACAATACTCATAATGTGAAGTGTTAATACTAGTGACTTTAGTGTTTCTGTGCATGGTGGCACCAGCGAAGGGAGTGTGAGTGTGTGTTCGTGTGTGCGTGTATGTCTGCTTGTGTGTGTGTTTGCACTATGGCGTTTCTCCCTCTCACTGTCCGAGAGTGTAGCTGTAGCAGAGGGGCCACGGACAGAGGCTGTGGTGGTTTTTACTTTGTCAAAGAGGGCGGTGAGTTTCGTGAAGCCTGGAACTTGGCCATGTGTCTTAAGAGTGGCTGGACTTTGACATGGGACAAAGGGAGGAGAAAGCATGTGTGCTCCAGTGAGTCTTCGTCACTCTGTCTGCCAAGCAATTGATAGATAACCGTGATTGTCTCTGCTTTTCTTCCGAAATGTAGATAACTGCCTTTTGACAAAGAGAGCCTTCCCTGTCCCCCACCCCTGTGCTCTCGGGTAGGAATGGGAAAAGGGGCAACCTACAAAGACCGTCGGGGCAAGGGACGTCACAGGTTTTCGGATGGGCACGTGACACTTAGCCCACCTTAACATTCTCTGTCCTCTCCCCTCCTGCCTGCCCGCACCCTGGAAGTGCCACTCAGGTCCTCTGGGTGTGCGCATATGCAGACCTATTTGGAGAAAAGAGGGCTGTGCAACTGAGAGCTGACGGTGCCGATGCCCTTTGTGTTCTGGCCAAAGCGGAGCGCCCAGCCCCGACTCCCGGGTGCTGAGACTGTTGCCTGGTTACCCAGGAAGCTGCTGTTCCGGCTGCCCAGCCTTTCTCTGAGCCAGCGGATGCACAGTCCGTGGCGTTCTTCAGGCTTCTGGGTAATGCTTTTTGCAAATGTTGAATCATGTTTCTGTTTTTTTTTTTTTTTTTTTTTGAGACGGAGTTTCGCTCTTGTTACCCAGGCTGGAGTGCAATGGCGCGATCTCGGCTCACCGCATCCAGGCAATTCTCCTGCCTCAGCCTCCTGAGTAGCTGGGATTACAGGCACGCGCCACCATACCCAGCTGATTTTTTTGTATTTTTAGTAGAGACGGGGTTTCACCATGTTGACCAGGATGGTCTCGATCTCTCGACCTCGTGATCCACCCGCCTCGGCCTCCCAAAGTGCTGGGATTACAGGCTTGAGCCACCACGCCCGGCATGTTTCTGTTTCTAAGTCAGATCTTTTTTGTTCTCCCCTTCCCACCCTAATTTGACATCAGAGTTCTTCTGCATTGGGCCCTGGGTCTTCCGAACCCAGGTCACCTCATTCCCCTTTTCTGTTCATATGTGACATACTGAAGAGTAGGCGGCAGCAGTGTGGGCTGAACCTAGGCCAGCTTGGTCAGCGGGTCCCCCTGCGTGGGGTCCTGGGTACCAGGTGTTGGTGATGTTGGGAAATGCAGTCACCAGGTTTGCTGGGGAGTTTGCTGGGAGTATGAAAACGAAACGAAACAAAACAAAAAAGCCTCAGTATAATTTTGTTCCACAATTTCTTCTGTAGCTTTATACCAGAAGGAAGGAACGGGCTACGGCAGGCAGTGGGGGCCGAGGGGGGTGAGCAGGTGTATTAAAATAGCTTACGGGTAAGGCCTAAAAGGTCACCCTCGGCCCCCTCTCCAAAAGAAGGGCATGACCACCCCCAGGAGAGGATGGCCCCAAAAACCTTATTTTTATACATGAAAGTGAATAAACATATTTTTTTTACAAAAATAAATTCTGAACTTATCAGTGTTTTGCTGTTAAAGAAAAATATTCCTCTATAGTAAATTATTTATTGGAAGATGACTTTTTTAAAGCTGCCGTTTGCCTTGGCTTGGTTTCATACACTGATTTATTTTTCTATGCCGGGCAGTAGAGTCTCTCTGCCTCTGAGGAGCAGGCAACCCCCATCCCACTCAGCCCCTCCTTCCCCCTCAGGATTTGAAAATTCCCACTCTGAGGATGGGTGCGTCAGGGAAGGGCGAGAAGGAGAGCCTGACTGCTCAGGGACCCAGGCTCAGAGAGCCCCTCCCTGCCTGCCACCCATAGGTTCTTCACTGGCACCTGCCTCTGAGACCTCCCACTCTGTTCCAGCAACCCTGGGAGGGTCGGACTTGATACACTTTCAGGTTGGGAGTTGACCCAGCCCAGGGCCTGCTGAGGACAGAGTAGCCAGACAGTCCCGGGCTGTTTGGAGCTCACTTTGCAGTTGGCACTGGGTCTGGGAGGAAGACAGCCGATGAGTGTGGCTTCGCTGAGCGTGGGGTTCCCCTGCTCCTCCAGCTGTGAGCTGTCCTCGGTGTTACCGAGGCTGTGCCTAGAGAGGGGAGATTTTTGACAAAAGGTGTGTTCGCTCTCTGCGTTCTATCTTCTCTCTTCTCCCTGCTCCTGCAAACCACAAGGAAAGGTAGTGGTGTGTCTCCACCCCATCAGCCTCCCACCCACTCCCAGACACACACAAGTCCTCAAATGTTTCTGCTCCGTGTGTGGTATGTGCAGGGTTTTGAAGGGGGTAGGGGGAGACTAAAATCAAATGAAAGTATACTTTTTATAATTTTTCTTTGTAAAACTTTGTGAAATTATTTCAGATACATATTTTAGTGTCAAGGCAGATTAGTTATTTAGCCACCAAAAAAAAAGTATTGTGTACAATTTGGGGCAGTCACAAAATTGTGTATTTTATGTTACAATAAAGGTTTCCTCTGAAAGGATGGTATTGAGTCCTGTTGTTACTTTTTTCTGTCATGTGCCAAGGGAGGGCAGCTTGAACAGGGAAAAGTTTCAGGTCATCAGCATGACCCTGAAAAAGGGAACTGGTCAGGAATTGGCTCGAGGCTGGGCACAGTGGTTTATACCTGTAATCAATCCCAGCACTTTGGGAGCCCAAGGCAAGTGGATCACCTGAGGTCAGGAGTTTGAGACCAGCCTGACTAACATGGTGAAACCTCCTTTCTACTAAAAAATACGAAAAATCACCCAGGCGTGGTGGTACGTACCTGTAATCCCAGCTACTTAGGAGGCTGAGGCAGGAGAATCGCTTAAACCTTCGAGGTGGAGATTATAGTGAGCCGAGATCGTACCTTTGCACTCCAGCTTGGGCAGCAAGCTAAATTGTCTCAAAAAAAGAACGAATAGGAGTGGAGAAAACATAAGTCTAGCACAGCTAAAGGCCTAGAGAGGCTGAGGCAGGAGAATCACTTGAACCCGGGAGGTGGAGGTTGCAGTGAGCCAAGGTTGTGCTACTACACTTCAGCCTGGTGACAGAGCCAGACTCCGTCTCACAAACACACAAAAATTGCAGTAACTGAAATGAAAAATTTGCTACAGTCTCAGATTTCAAAAGGCAGGAGATAGCAAACTTGAGGACAGATTCATGGAAATTATATACAATCTCAAAAACAGGAAAAAAAGATTAAAAATCTGGGCCAGGTGCAGTGGCTCACTCGTGTAATCTCAGCACTTTGGGAACCTGAGGCAGATGGATCATTTGAGGCCAGGAGTTCGAGAGCAGCCTGGCCAACATGGTGAAACCCCAACTCTACTAAAAATATAAAAAATTGGCTGGGCATGGTGGCAGGTGCCTGTAATCCCAGCAGTTAAGACCAGCCTGGACAACCCGGTAAAATCCCATCTCTACAAAAAAAATACAAACATTGGCTGGACGTGCCAGTACACCCCTGTAGGCCCAGCTACTCAGGAGGCTGAGGTGGGAGGATCACTTGAGCTGTGATGACGCGACTGCAGTCCAGCCTAGGTGACAGAGCGAGAAAAAAGAAGCCAGGTAGAGAAGACCACATATTATATGACGCCATTTATAGGAAATGTCTACGATAGGCAAATCTATCCTAGATTACTTTCTGGAGATAGAAAGTAAACTTGAGGTTGCTGAGAGTCTGGGAAAGAGTATGGAGGTAATAGTGAAATGACACAGGGTTTGGGGTTCTTTGTGTGTTTTTTTGTTTTTCTTGAGACCGAGTCTGGCTTTGTCGCCCAGGCTGGAGTGCAGTGGTGCCATCTCGGCCCACTGCAACCGTCGCCTCCTGGGTTCAAGCAATTCTGCTGCCTCAGCCTCCCGAGTAGCTGGGACTACAGGCACGTGCCACCACACCCAGCTAATTTTTGTTATTTTTAGTAGAGACGGGGTTTTGCCATGTTAGCCTGGCTGGTCTTGAACCCCTGACCTCAGGTTATCCACCCACTTCGGCCTCCCAAAGTGCTGGGATTATAGGCATGAGCCACCACACCCCGCCTAGGTTTGGGGGGTTTTATTTTATTTTATTTATGTATTTAATGAATTGGGCAGACGCCTGAGCTAGAGTAGGCTCAGAGAGACTCCCCAGGGTTTATTTTCGAGGTGATGAAAATGTGATAAAATTGTCTGGGGTATTGGTTGCACATATCTCTGGATATACTAGCTCTTGAATTGTACATTTAATGAGTGATTTGTAAGGTGTGTGAATTATATCTAATAAAGCTGTTATTGGGTCAGACCCAGTGGCTCACACCTGTAATTCCAGCAGTTCGGAAGGCCAAGGTAGGAAGATCACTGAGACCAGGAATTCCAGTCCAGCATGGGCAACATAATGAGACCCCTGTCTAAAAAAAAAGTTTTTTTTAATTAGCTGGATGTGGTGGCACATGCCTGTAGTCCTAGCCACTCAGAGGCTAAGGTGGGAGGATCGCTTGATCCCAGGAGTTCAAGGTTGCAATGCCACTGAACTCCAGCCTGGGCAATAATAGAGCGAAACCCCATCTCTAAATAAATAAAAGCAAATGCAAGACCTCAGCAAGAAAAAGAGTGAAAGTGAGGTGAGTTAGCCAGAGAGAGAGAACAGACCTGTTGAAAGAAGCTCAGCTGTGACGAGGAGAGGTACTCAGCAGGTAGTACCTCTCTTCTCAGAGGTACCCGGAGGCCAGTGAGAGGAGGAAGGGAGTGTCTTAGTGTTTTGAGGGCCTAGGTCGAGAGCACACAATCTGGGCAACATAGAGAGGTCCCGTCTCTACAACAAATAAAATTAGCTGAGAGTGGTGGTGCGTATCTGTAGTTCCAGCCACTCTGGAGGCT